TTTTAACGCACCGCGCTATCTGTGTCAGATGCTTTTGTAGCCATAATATTCGAAACCAAACAAAGAGGGGGCTATAAGTTTAATCATATGAAAATGAATATATGCTTGATTTTTCAAAATACGATAATCGAAACCGTTACTTTACTCCTTGCCAAATTCGCGGAATTGATATGGCCGTGGCATTCCAGAGATCATTCGTTCGCCACTTCAAGTTCAGTGACATCAGTGACAGTGGCGTGTCAGGCGTGACAGTCAGTTCCTCTGTGGCGTTCATTCAGTAAGCGCTTTATGATTGTGCTCAGTGTTTACAGAATTTCCTGTGAGATTAACTTTAAATTTTCTTCCGTGATTAACGCAATACTTAGAAAGTTAGAATACACACACATCCATCAACTTGATATTAAATTTGCTTCTTTATATTGAATTCGCTGGGCAGGGTGGCCGTGGCCCAGCGGCCCCAGCCCCAGTGGTTAAATTTCAGAGTACGGGAGTGCTGCCGTAGCCCAAAAATTTGACTCTTAAATAAGCCCAAGAGCCAATGACAACCCTCTACATGCAATAGAAATAGTCAGCCTAACACATATGCAGCTGATCTTACTTGCCTCATCTCACGGTTCTCACCACACCAGCTTGAAGTTGAAACAAGCAATGCCTCAGCCCACAAGCTGATACTCCAAACGGATTACACCCAATAGCTCCTACACCAATTATTTAAGCCCATACCATCACTTCTTACAATTGCCGTAAGGCGTAAGCCACAGGGTCCGCAGACCGCACCAGACTGCCGTAAATGGGAACGGCCCCGCACCGGACTGTCGCATCACCTTACCCACTTCGCAGGCGTAAGCCCAGCCCTGATGCTCACCAGCATCTTCTTCCTCCACACTTACCTTCTTCTCTCCACCTTTCCGCAAAAAGGTTAGGTTAGGTTTGGTTAGAATTCTTCCGCAAGCTGGTGCCGAAAGGAGGGGGAGCAGGGGGTAAGCGTGGAGGTTTAGCCTCCAGAAGAACGGACAGGCTGGAGAGGTAGCAGTGTACTGATAGCACTGTGGCGCAGGGCGTTCTTTATCGAAAGTGGGGAAGGGGCTAGGCTGCATGGAATAGAAATATTTTGGGGTTTAGCGTGTGGGTTACGACCATTGTTTTGGCAGCTTGCTGGTTTGCATCCATGAAGGGATTTAGTCCCTGTGGCTTTCAGCAAGTAATCGTGTTGGCTAATTTGCTCTGCTGCATGCTTGCGCATGAGGTGAAGTATGAAAATTATGCTGGTATTGGGCAATGCTGGGTTATTTCAGTTGTCCCCAGAGTACCAGGAATGGCACAGCCGCACAGAGAGGCTCGGGTTTGATCCCAGCTCTGTCCGCCAGTTTCTGGTAAGAATTGGCAAGGAGGCCAGGCGGTTAAGCACAACAGAATTGTAGCAGTGAGTTGCGAGTTCGAGACCACCAAATGCTGTGAATGTTCTGGGATGTTAAGAATCGGCAACAGGCCTATGGCCTATTAAGTAATAAACACTGAAGCTGCTATTATTATTATCATGCAATGATGCAAAGCAGAGAGTTTTTTTAGACTCTTACTCAAGTTCATTTTTAAGTCTTATAAGTAGACCAGTAAAGTATCATGGATACCACACCAGCATTATCATACTTAAGAAATTGGCTTAAATCTTGAGTGGATGAGAAAATTAAAAATGAACTGATTCTAAACACTCTGTGCTTTGCCACTATGAATTATTACTTCAACTCTACAAGTAGCTGTATAAGTCTAAAGTCAAGTGGCTGATTTCATTTTCAAGAAACCAGCTGGCTTTCTCACCCCTCTCCCATGACCCATCCTCTTCTCTTCATGACTGACAGACTGAGAAGAGGCAGTAGGTGGACTGCCAGGACCGGAGTCACCGGACTGAACCAATCACATAGCCACAGCTGTCAGCTGGAAAGGATGATATCACAAATTCACAATCCCATCTACCAATCACAGCTGTAATTTGGAAAGGGGATGACATTACAATTCCATCAACCAATCACAGCTGGAAAGGGAAAGCCTGGAAAGGATATGTATATAATGGACTGAAAGTAGAAAATTCCTGGCCTTTCTAAGCTTTCAGCCTCAGGTATTGCTTTCCATTTTCCAATATGCTATCTGTACTGGTTAATTTAATATCCCTCTAGATAGAATTACACACTGCGGCAGTGTGTGCTACTGTGCTGTGTTCACACTATGTGAGCAAAATTTTTTAGTATAGCAAATAATTTTTTTTGCTACTGACCTTAGCAGAGGTACTTTTCCAAAATCTAATTTTTAAACAATTTTCTCAGGGAATTGGAATTTTTAGAGGTAGTAAATGAATAGTTTCTTAAATTGCTTTAGGGTTTAGGCTACACAGATAGTAGAAATGTTGAACTTTATGCCACTATTTTTAGTTTTGAAATATTTTGATTAGTTTTGCTGCTACAACTTATCTACAAAATGTGGGACAACTGTCCCAATTTACCCTGCCTGTCCCTTATTACCCCATTTGATGGTATATCTTTGTTTCTCTCTTTGTGCATGCAAGAAAATTTGGTCTTCAATGGAATCTAGATTAAATTTAATACATCAGCCTGTGCTACATCAAAGAGGTCATCAAATTTTTAGCTAAATTTATTCTCTTTTAGCTGTGGATTTTTTGTTTGTCTACTGGCTTCTTTTTTCAGACCCTGCCATTTGACATTTGTTGGGCTGCTCTTTTATATTGTTGATGATATGCTACACTTGTCTAGTGTCGTCAAAATTCTTACTTTTGCCCAAAAATTTATTTATTCTTGAGCAGTAGTGGGCGGCCACTAGTGGCAGCACTTTCATGAACAGTTCTCTTGTCTGGTGAGTGTAGGTAGGATAATCTGCTCAGAACCTGCCAATTTGATGGTAGCTTGGAAGCCTTGGACCCTGTGATACTTTCAGATGTGCCTCCATTCAGCCAAGTGCCACGAGTGTGTGTGATAGCACTAGTAGAATAATTAGATGAAATTGAGTTCTACAATACATTGTGCAGCTATCTTTAGTTGCCTGTGTGAATCAAAGATGGGATCAGTTAATTCTTAATAAATGTTCAAACTGGCACAAAGGCATCTATGGTCACTTATTATTTTTTTTTTTTTTGAAGTCAAATCTTAATATATTGGTATTCTACAATATATCTCACTGATATACTGTACTCTCACATGAAACATGGAATATGCTGTTATTTCATTTGTACCTGTAATACAAATTATGAGCAAGATAGAAGCAAAGCATTGTAGAATAGAATAGAATAGAAGTGTCGGTGTTGAAGACATAGGCCCATGGCCTGTTGCCATGGCCTGTAAAGAAAGAAACGAAGATCGTCTTTTTTTATCCTTACCGTCCTCGGACCCGCGATTAGGCAGCTACGGTACGCCACAAAAACTGGTAAATCTACCGGAGATTTAAACTTGAAAAACTGGTAAATCTACCGGAACCTCACCTGCGGTCTTGTGGAGGCCTGTGCTGCACACCATATTGGTAAAATTTATTTTACCATTAAATTACTTTATTACCATTATTTTAGTTGGCACTGTTGTGGGAAGCCCCTTACAATGATCCTGCAAGGAAGCAGGATTTTCCTACTGGGGTCCTGCAAACCCCCCTCTCCTGAAATGCATATATACATGTGAAGTCAAAGTATAAAATTAAAGCAAGAGTATAAATTTCAGTGTTGACATTATAAGTAGAATGCATCCTGCCTAAAATGATTCATTAACTTAATCATGCTAAAGGTGTTGTGCTTGACATTTTATGGTTGGATTTAGTGCACTCCTTAGGTTTATCATGTTAATTTTATGTTTGATTTTCAGATTGGTTAAAAACAGGCAGACTGGTACATACAATTTCTTGAGACTGAGTACCTAGACCCCCTGTGCCTCGGTTTTGCGCTGGTTTCTTCTCATTTTCCTGCCACTGTATATACATACATTGTTCTTCTTGTTGTGTTGACTTGAATAAATTATTAGATAAATACAGGGAAAATGTTGAACAAAAAAAGGATTAGGATGGTTTTAGGGGAGATGGAGACCTTCACTGATTTCTTGTTTTCCTCACCCTTTGCAACAAACGCCTCAGGCCCACAATGTGGCTGATTACCGTACACGTTGTACTTAGAGTTCCATAACAGCACCCTAGTGAGGAGAATGGATGATGGTGTGGATGTGGGCAGAAAGAGGTTAAAAATTCTTCTGTATGCTGATGATGCTGTGATTATGAGAGAAAATAGCATAGAACTACAAAGTATGCTGGACTGTGTGACTGAGTATGGGGGTGACTTCAATGTGTGTTTCTATGCATAGAAAAGCCAAGTATTTGTTGTGAATGGATCAGCTGATGATATTGGCAGAGTGTGGCTGTTTGGAGGGAATGAGATTGTTGGGTCGAATGAGTCTAGGTACTTAGTTATGTGTGCGGACCAGGAGGGATGTGAGAAAACAAAGGTTTTAAGTTTCAGTAAGGCAAATCAATGGTTGGATCTCATTGGAAGTGCAGCAAAAGTGAGAGCACAAGGTATGAAGTATAAAGGGAAGTGTGGAAGAATGTGGAAGAGTGAGGCAGTTCCCAGTATTATGTATGGATTTGATGTGATAGCATATAGTGATGGTGAGCTAGATAAACTGGAAATTGTACAGAATAGAGTGGCAAGATTGGCACTAGGAGCCCCCAGGTGGACTGCAGTAGAGGCCCTGAGAGGAGACATGGGTTGGAGTACCTTCAAGGAAAGAAGAATGAGAGCAGTTTTGAGATATAAAGTGAGACTGGAATGGATAGATGATGAACATTGGGTATGAAAGATATATATTTGGTATGCAAATGTGGTAGGCATGAAGCATGAGTGCTCCAAGGGCCTGCTGGACCAAAGGACAAATGGGTGATGACAGTTTACAGGGTATGTATGGCTGGGATAGAGTTGGATGAAAAAGAGTGTAAAAGAGAAATAAGTAAGGGAGTAGAAGGTGATGGAGGTGTGGAAGCAAGGAATGGAGGGAAAGAACACTTTGAAGCTATATCAGATGAAAGTGATGCCATATTACAAATGCATGTATGATGGTAGTAGGAGACCTTCTGTTTTGTGTAAGGGCAGGGGCGCTAGGTATGAATGGACGTACATACTGGTGGAACAAGAGGAGGGAAGATAAATGTCTTATGCATGATTGTGATGAAAAGGAAACTGTGGAGCAATTATTAATGGAATGTTTGGGGTAGGTATATGAGAGAGAGCAACAGAGAGCCTACAATGGAGGCGATTTGGAATGAGGGAGATGATATTAATAAAGTGGGGTGTGAGAGAACAAGTGAGGAGGGGATGATGAAGATTGTAGGTCTGTCTGAGGGAGCAACTGTGGCTATGTTTGAGAGTGTAAGGAGATATTTGATGAACGTGTGGAGGTTGAGGGACAGAAGGTGGATGATAAGAGTGTGGTTTTAAAGAGTGGTGGGTTGAGAAAGGAGAGGGTTGGAAGGCAAAGCTAACCATGCTGAATGTTTTAGTACCATTATTTCTGTTTTTTAGGATGTTGACATGTATAACTGAATGTTTGAGTCTATAGGGATTTTAGTGCACACTTATTAATTGAACTTTTTTTCAACAGCCAAGTGCAACATGAACTTATAATTTTCAGTTTTATGTTAAAGATTTTTATGCAGTGTGAATGACTGATCTAAAGGTCTTGACCTGAGGTCAGCACTCACCCAATTCCAACTACCTACAACTGAAATGTGGTAACTTGGATACACTGTTCAAAATCAAATCAGTTGAATTTGAAATTGCTTGAGAATAAAGTCATAAAGTATGAAAATATTTTCAAAATTCTGATACAAAAGTTGTGGATTTGCCAGCACTGACATGAACATTTCTACTTGTTAGATTTTTTGCAACTTGTTGAAGTCAATATTTGCTGTTGTGTCTGCCATTGTGAGTGCAGGTAAATTGCTGTCAAACCCAAGGGGTAAACATGTTAACAAAAAAGCTGAAAACATTATTTGGTCATTTATGGTTTACTATTTGGCTTTGGATGCGTCCCCTGGTAAAATGGGTGCTGAGGAAATCCACGCAGCTATGCGAGATTCAAAGAATTTGCTATGCTACCCTACCTGGAGCTGAAAGATCTACCAAAGTTGGTAAGGAAGAGTTGAGAAAAAAGGTATTTAGTAGCTATAAGTTAAGGATAAGAAAATTTACATATGTTTCTGAGCATAATAAAATTATTTCTAAGAAAAATTATTTTTTATATGCTAAAACAAAAAGCTACAAAAATTAAACCACAGTTGCATTAGGATTTCAAGGAGCTCAACGAGAACGTTGAGTACGAGGAGCGCGAGAGCAAGTTTGAAGTTACTCATGAGTAACTGCAGCCTGGGACATGAATCAATAAATGTAGTGTTTTAGAATGCCATAAAAACCTGAATCCGCTTGCCCTAATTTGGAAAAATATGTCAAAAATTGAATGAAATTCATTTTCAGTTGCTGTGGTAAATGGTAATGCGCAATTGAGCCTTAATTGGAGTCTAAATTTAATGTGTTTTAGTTTTCTGGATTGATTTCTCATAAAGTTTAAAACTTTGATGAACATTATTTAACACAAAAAAAACTTCGAACAAATCCTTGCCACTTTTTTCAACTTTATTAATTAAAGGTTTTAGATTAAGCTAGCATTGTTTCTTTATTTTAGTGCTCAACTCTCATGCATATAACCAGGTAGATCATTGTGTCATTTGTTTGCATATTTCAGGTCATCTTGAGCGAGACGATCTTCAACATAAATGTTTATTTCATTATTTTGTATTTTCATCTTGAATTAATTTATTTGCATCATGATAATAGCTGAAAAAACTTAAAGCATTATTATTTTTGTCCCATTGCCAGGAAATCAGAAAATAAAATCATAATAAACTGAGATTTAGATTTATATTTTTCTGTGAAACTTTACTACCAATAAAGTTTTGGCCCGAAACTGTAGTGTGCACCAACCTTTGTATCCTGAACTTCATTTTAGTTTATCCAAATTTATATGCATAGGTATGCATCTTTCACAGTCATTATGTAGTATCAAATAAAATTGTCTAAATTGAACTTAGAAGTGTTAAATATTACAAAATCAATAGAAGTAGTTCTCATGCTCGATTGAGATTAAGATACTAAGCAAAATTGACTTTATTCTCTGGTTTATAGTTCATACTCATTTGCATACATGCTAAAAACTGATTTCTTCACTATGTATTTCTGACTCACTGGCTAAATTGAACTTACTGTTTAACACATTATATATAGATACATTACAATAAGATGAAATCATTTTTAAAGTTAATATAACATCAATTTATATTGATCGCTTTTTTGCTTGTTTTTTTTCAGAATTCAGCCTGGAGCATTCACGTCATGCTGAAATTCAGAAATGCTGTGCATATCTTTCATCAAAAGCTGAAGAACAGCAGATTCGTCCTGACGTGATTCATTACGCAGTTTATGCCGTTGTCAGAGTCAAGGATATCAACACCAAACTTCATCCCAAGTATTATTTCATGAGTGATTACTAAAACATTGGCCTCCTGATTCAGATTAATGCAATCAAAATCAATGTTTACCATATTATTATGATCAGCAATTTGCACATTCCATGACTGTGGAATGTTAACAAATACATTCATGAATGTCAGTATGGCTGATGATACCAATTCTAAGTTTTATATTAACTCTCAAATATTTTGCTATAGCTGCTACAATATTTCATTTATATATACTCTTTGTTGCTCAATATCAGAAGCATAAGAAGTCCAGAGCATCTCTGCTTGTGCAGGTTTTCAGGCCAGTTGTTGTCATGCATAGGCAGCATCTGGGGCTATAGGCAGCTCATCAGTGAGGTTGAGTCCCTCTGTAATATTGGTTGTTCAACGGCTGCTCAGCTCCCTGCCAACGCTCAACAAGTCACTGACAAACTGCAAACTCTGTGGCAAGCTCTCAAACCTGATTCACATCTCCAGGTAATTGTTGTTAGTTTTTATGAACCCTTTAGTGTCCTGCTGTACATATATGTTGCCTTTCAAAAATTTCATATTAAATGCTTTCTATAAATATGGCGGAGCTTCAGTGGTGTCAGTCATGTTCAGAACATGTCCGAGATTGGCTCAGCAGCAACAAACAAAGGAATTGTGTCTTGCACATCAGTACAGGCTGTGCTCAACTGGGATGAAGAGCTGTTTTCATCTGCCATGCAAAACTTTTTTTTTTGTCACTATGGTATTGCAATGAAAAAATTATGTTCTTGTTTAGGCATGCTTTAGGAGTTAGTTTGATTGTTTATTGATGCATATTGGTAGTTTGTGTTATTCTTGTATCATATTTTTTAAGCAAGCCAGATATGTAAAGTTGAGCTCACAAACCCTATTTTTGAAATACACCACACATGTCCAGTTATACATGTTCTGTGACACTGCTGTACAGCTGGCAAACAGAATTTTTCTGTTTGATACTTGGCAATTCAGTGTAGTTCTTCCTCTAGTGATATGACTTAGCTCCAAAATTTAAATACATAAAGTCTCAGGTTTACTTCATAATTTTAGTTGCATATTGAAATGCTTTGGTGGAATACCTAATGACTAACTAAACTGTGTGAACCTAACCAGGCTTCTGAAACGAGTTAATAATTGATTGTTATGTTAGCGGGTGAGTGTCAGCTGTACATATTGATGTATTTTGTGATTTGTTTAGTGGATTCCAATTAAATTTTTTTACCCAAGATGAATCCATGTAAGCAAACAAGGTAGAGCGACATATTGCTGTACTTACTCTCTCAGTGACCATAAAGACAATTGATTAGATGATAATGGTGTCCTTGACTATAACTCTCCAGTCTTTTTGAGACTGTTACCCATAAAATTGATAAAAGTACTTGAGATGCTGATGACAATCCAATACTAGTTGAGGTTAAGTCCTCTGAATTTGAATTTTTTAACAAGAAGAGCCTAAAAATTTTCTATATGGGTGTACTAAGTCAGAAAGCCACAATTCAGAAAGTCAGAAGCCACAATTCATGCGCTGCAGGTCATGTGCAATAGTTATACACTGGACAAGGCTGTATGTAACAGTCATACATTGCATGCAAGGTCATGCTCTACAGTCCTACACGGCAGGGAGGGCCGTGCACAATAGTGCTACCTTGCAAGGGAGGTTGTGCAGAGCAGTCCTACTGTGCATGCTTGGGCATGCATGTAGTTCTACATGACATGCAGGTGGTGACTTTTACATGACCTACTGTTGATTATTAGCATGTCAGATTTTATTGAATGAACTCAAATAATATGTTTCAGACGAGTGATATCTTCATTGTAGCACATCAGCATATTATATTCATTCAAGTATAATTATACTACCGGTACATGCTAGCAGCTTTTTCATTAGAAGTGTAACTTATTTTGTTCATGCATGAAGCTCATTTGTCCAATTGTCTAGACTAGTTTCAGTTTTGTGCTACGACCATGTGGACATGTATGTCATCTTTCAAATTTTTAAAATGAATGAATTTGAAAAACCTTGAATAATTCTTCAGTGCAATTAGGAATAGATCCCTCAAAAAATTACATATAATTTTTTTTTTGTACATGTGAGAAATTTGGGTGCTAGAGGGTTAAGCTACGTTTCAAGTTTGTAATTTTTCAACAGCTAATTTTTAGAAAAATTCATTTTTGTTTCTGGATATGCATTTATTGTGCAATGGAATTTTAATTTGATGAAACAGTGTAAAATAGTGTTCATGTTTCATTTAGTGTACAATATCTTAAACTTGTATATCAAGTGACTCTTTATATACTACAGTTTCCATTCATTATCGTCACCTACTCTTATCATGTCCAATTGCATGCCTCAAAGGCGTTTCTCCCACGTATAAATTGCTAAAATTTATTCTATGATTCACTTTTTTTTAGAAATGAGTTGTAATTGCTAAAATTTATTCTACAATTCCCTTTTTAGCGCATTTTCTCATTTATGGAAAAATGCACTATTGTGCTCGCCATGCCCGTCTGTCCGTCCGTGACCTCAAGTTTTCATTGACGAGAAAATGTGCCCTCTGTCACTCACTGCAGTGAGTACTCAGTTATATTTTTTTAAAAAATGAGTTGTCAGTAACTATAGTAACTATAGAATGAAAGATCTTTTGACAACAAAGAAATTAACAGTTATTTTTTCACTGCAGAAACTTGTGAGCAAACAGTGGCAGGAAATTGGCTTCCAAGGAGAAGATCCTTGCACAGACTTCAGAGGCATGGGGCTGCTTGCCCTTGAAAATTTATTGTAAGTTTCGGCACTTTTGATCTATATTTATTTATATATTAATTGAACGGAGGCAGTGGATTCATATTTATATAAATATTCCTTGATATCAAATGATTGAAGTGAATTTATGTTCCTTGAAAATTTATTGTAAGTCTCAGCACTTTTGATCTATTTTCATTTATATATTAGTTGAACGGAGGCAATGGATTCATATTTATACAAATATTCCTTAATATCAAATGATTGAAGTGAATTTATGTTGAGTTATTTATTTAGGTTTTCATGGGTACTGCATCAACCAGCAATTTGTTAGTTTACCAGTGCTTGTATAAAATGACATGGTTTTCTGGGAATCTGATTCTCTCTTTGGCATTAATCTGGAATTTGTGATCTATTTTGTTCTCAGTTTGTCTCTTCTGTTCTGCAAAAAAGAAAAGTTTTGCCTTTTAAATTCTCGATCTGATTCTCCTGCATCTTATTAACATCACTCAATCACATCAAAATAATTGGTTAATCAATCAAAAGTGAAGCTTTAAAAATGACAGGTTAGTCTTATTTTAGTCTATTTTAGTCTATGTTTAGTCTATGTTTGTCTATGTTTAATATTTCTGCAGGTATTTTGCCGTGACTCATGAGTCGGCAGCAAGGCACGTGCTCTCGCGATCTTGCCATCCTCGCTACGGGTGAGCCTTTAGCTTTTGATCTCATTCAATTCTTGAATAAATTCTGATCTTCATGAAGAACTTGCCAGTTAAATAACTTTCAAACGACACTAGCTGATGGAGATAGAACTTCTTGATACACCAGGACGGCGGCACACAACCAATGAGGATTACTGGTTGGCTGAGAAGTCTTGTTCACAACTAAGGCATAAACTAGTGTTAGAACTTCGGGATTCCTATTTGTGATGTTGGGACATTCATCCATCAATGTGTGAGACAGTTGTTTAGCCACATAGATTTGTACAATAATATGTGCAGCAGTTACTATTGGCTATGGATGTCAAAAGATAGCTCTTTGTGCAATATTCTAGTCCAGCACATTGTAACATCAAAAGAGAGATAAGACTTAACAATCTATATTGGGTTTATTGGGTTTATGTTGCTGACCGCTTGGGTAAGTCAGTGTTGTATATAACTTTTTAGCGCATTTTCTCATTTATGGAAAAAATGCACTATTGTGCTCGCCATGTCCGTCTGTCTGTCCGTCCGTCTGTCCGTCCGTCCGTGACCTCAAGTTTTCGTCGATGAGAAAATGCGCTCTTTGTCACTCACTGCTGTGAGTACTGAGTTATATTTTTTACGTGTAGGGTCAGAAAATTTTACTCTCAGTCCAACTTGGATGGGACGCCAACTGTGAGAGATCCTTCGCCCATGCAGTGTTAAATATCGTATCAACGATAATCAATCAAAATGCTAAATTACACCATGCAATGCCATGTACTAAGTAACTGATCTTGATTTTCAGGTTACAATAACATAAGTTTTCTTTGACTTAGCCTTGTCCTCAGCGGCTCAGCCTGTACCGAAAGATTTCTCAAAGACAATAGTTGGCTTATTTTAAAGTTCATCATTTATTTTCCCTGCAAAAGATAAAATTAGATTTTTCTCTCTGATGTATTGTTCATTTGAAGATATTCATTTGGCATCGTGGGCATCAACCTGACGCACCTGGCGCTGACGCTGCTCAAGGACGGCGCACTGAAGCATCACTTCTACAACGTCGCCGTCAAGGAGATGAAGGAGGCCGCCCTCTCTGCCTCCTCTACATCAGGTAACTCTTTGACATGCCATCAGCTGTAGCAATAACTGGCAATATGTGTCAAGTTTTAAACAGGGGCACATAAAACAGGGGTATTAACCATGCTTCCTCCACATCAGGTAACTCTCTGACATGCCATCAGCTGTAACAATAACTGGCAATATGTGTCAAGTTTTAAACAGGGGGGCATGAAACAGGGGTATTAACCATGCTTCCTCCACATCAGGTAGCTCTCTGACATGCCATCAGCTGTAACAATAACTGGCAATATGTGTCAAGTTTTAAACAGGGGGCGCATAAAATAGGGGTATTAACCATGCCTCCTCTACATCAGGTAACTCTTTGACATGCCATCAGCTGTAACAGTAACTGGCAAAATGTGTCAAGTTTTAAACAGGGGCACAAAAAAGAGGGGTATTAACCATGATTCCTCCACATCAGGTACTCTTTGACATGCCATCAGCTGTAACAATAACTGGCAATATGTGTCAAGTTTTAAACAGCGGCGCATAAAACATGTTTTTTCAAGAGGGTTGTAAAAATGTAATTTGGAATACTTTTACTTAGATGATAATTTTGTATGTAATGTCACTGGGCTTGATCTATAGTCTTATTAGAGTTGATTATCAAACTGTCGAATTGAATCAATCATTGCCATAGCAGGTCTTGTGTCACGAACGAATATTGTAGTGTTGCTCGAGCAACAGTGAATTAAATTTAATGTTTTAGACGTTTGTGTTAATTAAAGTAATGCTAATTAAACCTGCTGAATACGTGCTAGTCGATACAGGCTTTCAAGATTTTGCTGATCTTCGTATGCCTTTCCCACAGCGACGAATTCAATTCAAACTGGAGCTCATAGAAATAGTTTATCCTGAAAAAGTTTATTCAATTGCATCTTTGACAAATATTTATCATATCTTTATATCTTTATTATCATATCTTTATTATCATAGCTACTAACAACATTGTGCTCAGGTACCGCCGGCGTGCAGCTGCCGTCACTGCGACACTTCCACCAAGTTTACTGCTACATCTTCTTCGAGTTCGACTCGTTGTGGAGGAATGAGAAGCCCAGGGACATCATGGAGTTCAACAGAGTCAGGGATCTGTTTGAGAAGAAGCTCAGGGCTCAGCTTAAGAGCTACGACTGCATCCTCAAGACTAACTTTGTCTTGCGCAACGTATAATGCCAGTTCTGTCAGGGGAATTGTAGCATTCTGTCTAAGTTTTTTGTACCGTGAAACTTTCAACGATAACTAATCATGTCGTTTTGATGGCATATATATGCTGAATTGCCTTGCAGAAATTAAAATTATGCTATTTCTGATGTGGGAAAATTTGTACTATACAATTTATGGGTGCACGCTCTCAACTGGTGCGCTTTGGTGGGTTGCAATTCTAGTGACGGGAGGCAATTGTCACGTGAGAAGAGCATTTTTTCTCAATATCCCTTCAAACCCAAGCCAGATCTCATTTTTACCTCTCGCGATGTATAATTTATTGTTTATCATTTATAGGTATACCACTAAGAACATTCAGTTTTAATTATATTTTTCTGATACAGATACATCAGATAACCTAGAATTTGTACTCATGTTCGTGGTTCAACGAAGTCGTATTGACCATTATTAACCATTTTATTTGATCATTGCTTGGGTTCGCGCTATTCTGCTGCTGATAAGTGATAACCATCACGACAATGACTGATGAAGTGCGAGGCTTATGCCTGCTTAAGTGTCTAGGTCTTCGTGACACGCATTCCTTTTCTGGATCAGGGCCCATACTTTCAAAAAAAGTTAAGAGATCGTACGTTCATCAGCCAATCATGGACGGCCTTTCAAGCAAAATCCACCAATCATTGACAATAAAGTAGAGCGTAAGTACTTACGTTCACTTAGCGAGTTTTGAAAGTATGGCCCCTGCAAGCTTAATCAAGCTGATCAATGCTTTCTCATTATTCTGGAATTTAGTGAACGTCAACATGAATCATGAAACCATATATTATGCTCGAAAAATGTTTTTTATTCATTTGGTGATTTGTTTGCGTTTCCTGAGACCTGTATGAAAGGAATTCATCTCCATTATTGCGCCTAACATATGGCTGGAAAAAAGAGATATGGCTGTAACATAGAAGAATTTGACATACGATGTCACTAATCATTGCACGACTTTTATTCTTCGGGGGCCATACTTTCAAAATTCGCTAAGTGAGCGTAAGTATTTACGCTCTATTTTCATGTCTATGATTGGTGGATTTTGCTTGAAAGGCCGTCAATGATTGGCTGATGAACTTACGATCTCTTAACTTTTTTTGAAAGTATAGGCGGGAAGCACAGGAAGCGTGAAATGCACATTGCACGAGCTGCCACGGAGCTCGCATCTGTAATTTTAGTTCAAGTTTACTGTGCATAATTTGGCACTGAATGGTTTTAATACGAGCCCTATAAGGCATAAAATTTTATAGGTAGTATAAATTTGAATTATACAGTATTCTATTGTATACTTCACGTTTGTTCTCTAACGAATTTTCAAATCAACTGTACGCTGCTATCTTAATTCCATGATAGATAGTCTCTCCACATTCTGTGTTTGACGTTAATAGATTATATCAGTGCCCTATGCCGGAACTCCACTGATTCGAAGCTCTTAAATACTTTAATTGAATGTTAAAGTAATGAAGGCACTTTCTACTGGGTGAACCTGGGCCGTCTTCTGGGACTCCAAACACCTCGTTTTGTCCCTCTGTTCAATTTATGTCATGCCGTCATTACATGATCTGTCCTCAAGTGTGGTGTCCAAGGTGTTTATATATTTATTATGTTACAAGGTGTTTATTATTTTGATGACAGGTATATTTTACATTCGATAAGTACAAGGTCATATGTGATTCCTTCGTTCCTCGAAGCAAATTCTTGCATACTTTGCAAAGTTCTCAGCAGAGTTGTGTTCCTCACAGGCCAGTTGAGTTCAGGTCGTAATAATAAAGACTATTTTTCTTAACTAATCTTGGAGTTTTCACCGAGATTCGAGACTAGTGTTAAAATGGATGACATTACCTGGTAATGTATAGTTTTAGCTTATTGTGAATAACACTTCATTCCAACTGACTTCTGCGTGATATGTATTGTTAATGTTTCTGTTCCACTTCGCAATTTTTGATCCATATCATTTTTCTAAAATTTTATCTCAGAAACGACTTGAGAGGACACGCGCGTCGCACGGCGTGTTTTGTTCTTAATTTACAGTCTTATTTATTTATTACCAAGAGAACCTGAATTAATTTATTTTGTTATTTATGACCAAACTCAGTATCTATGACTCAAAATTTATTGTGCAACTTTTTGTTAAGACGCGTTTTCAGTAATTCAACTTGAAATGTGTTTAAACTTGTGGAACTTCGGCAATTACTGTCTTATAATGAATCTTAAAATCTGGGCCTTGTATCACTTTGCCTGCTCGGTTGGGGAACTTGTCGACAAAGGTGCTCTAGAAAAACCTGTTAATATCTTGGTCAACGTATGGAAGAGGAAATTTTTCCGTTTCAGTACGATTCATGTTCTCTGTACTATGTTATACAGTTTTCAGCAGCCCTGACAGAGCATTTAACACCTGCGTGTGAGTTACCGTCGCAGTGTTGTTCAAGTTGTCTTTGTTCTTCCCTTCCCTGCTTGCCTGATGCGCCTGCCAGGTAACTTGTATAAGAGTCTTTTATCTTATACTCTTATCTTAAGACTCTTATACTCTTATAATAAGAGTATAAGAGTCTTTTGAACGGCTGTCTTCGGTTGTGGTCATCGCTCCCTTCTTCGTCCTTCCGAGGGCTTCGGTTTAATCACGTTACCTGCGGGTCGCTGGAAATCTTCAAACTTCCGTCGTGCGTCTAAAGTAAGATTTAATGTATTTTGTGATGGTAAAGAAGCGCGGACGAATCAATCTATTTTTGGTGTAATTATTCTACTATTTTGCATGCTGCAGTGCATTGTATGTTTGAATGAAGCATTATCGCTATATTTTCATATCTGATTTCTATTAATGGCAGTAGCGTTCAAAGCTTTGAGATTTATTTGAAAATTGTTTTGGTTTTTATTATTTTATTATTTGAAAATATTCAGACGAAGTTATGGCTAATAAGTGAAGTATTTTATAGCTGGTCTCTTAAAAGTAAGTTCTAAATAAACTACGCCCTTCGGGGGACTTCAGACGCGTGTCTGGACTCGTCAGATGTCCCATGGGGATATTGCGCTCCTAGGGGGATTGTTCCTGAGCGCCCCACCGCTGAGCTCGCGGTGTCTGACCGTAGGTCTCAGTTGTGGGGTTAAGTTATTATGTAGGTAGGATTCCTTACATTTCCCTTCTCTGTCTCTCTCGTGCGGGCGGCCGACGTCCCGTGTAAGCGACCTCTTGTTCGAGTGTCTTCGTTTCTACTGCTTTTCACCTGTCCCTCCTTGTCACTTCATCTCTTTGAGATGCTAACGCTGCTTCTCTCGAGCCAGCTTCAGCGGGCTGAACAATTGAGACCTTCCACCCCTTGTGAGTGATGAATAACTTGAGATTATTGAATAATTGATACCTTCCGCCTCGCTGGCGATGTTGATATTTTGATCTCCGGTGCGAAATAGCTTGATAGCTGAAGCGCTAGCAAACGTTTTACTACTACTTACAAATTCAACAGAAACGAATGACAGTGCAATCGCATACGTATTCCAAAACTTTCCTTATGATGTTATGTTTCATGTACATATATTTTTTACTTTGTTCCAGGAGAACTTGTTTGTAATTCTACTGCATCGAAGTCAACTTGTTTGACCCAACTAGTGCGTCATTTGTCATCGCAAAAAGTTGTTTTGAATTTCAAAAAATTCTCTACAACAGACACTAGGAAGAATGTAGATTCTTATTTTTCTGAATTTCAAAAGAACGTTATTTTCCAATTCTCATGCGAGTCTTAATGTAACTCGCAATAAGTTCTGCCTTCCAAGGAAAACAAACACGCCAGGATACTGTCTGTTTTATTAGAAGAAAATATATGCTGAAACTTGGATGAAATTAATATTTTAAAAAACAACGTAACAAAACGGTTCATTTGAAATGGGGTGAAAAGTTCCTGATCGGTTGCCAGTCAAATTTTACTGTCGGTAGTTCACTCGTAGGTCATGTAGGAGTCGGTCCAAGCTGTCCTGTATCGAACATTTCACTTCTGCCTAAACAAAGTCACGAAGTTGTGAAACACGAAGTTTCTGCCATACAAACGAAGTTGTGTCACGTCAGTCAGCGTCGAAAAAATTGTAATTACTGAAGCATAATCCCCTTTCCACGTCGTCAATCGGGAGTTCGGTTGTCATCAGTCACAAATCTTTGTGTCAATGTCTTAAGGACTTCGTCCACTCGTCGTCGATGATTCTCAAAAATTCGAAAGAAATATTTATCAGGTCATGATAAAAGCTTGTATAATAGGGAAGTCGTCTAAATTAGTGCCTGTAATTGCAGTAGCCTTAAGTGGTCTTAGTCATCTCGGTAAAGCAGTTATGTTCTGATGGTGTTTGTCTCAGCAAACACTTTTCTCTTACAACCTGTTGAATGTCGCAATGACTTCTTCCTGTGGCCGTTCTTTGGGGTTAGTCTCGATCATATTGGTCTAAGTAGTCGGTCTGCATCGATGTCCTTCTCGCAGACAGAATTGAGTCCAAAAGGTCATTTATACGTAGCAGCGAACCAAATAGCCGTAAAAAAAATTATTCGTCTGTCGGATAAATGTCCTGTATTGCAAGTGCGTCCGTCTTTCTTCGCGCTGTGTCAAATTTCGAGGAAACGCCGCTCAGTAACTCCGTCGTGATTTCTTGGTGGCCTTTCAAAGTCAACAGTCACAGTAGAAAATGTCGCTTATCTGACGTAAGTCGTGAAGTCAGTCGTGAAGTCATCCTCGAAACATCCAGTAGTGCATGAACTTCGACGGAGGGTTTTGGTCACTTCGATTACAGTTGTCAATCGTGAAATGTTTGAACTAGTAGTTGAGTCACCTGTTGTTATATAGTTTACAGAGTTCGATAACTTATAGTACAGAGTTCGAGAAGTCTAGTTGCGCATTAAAGTAAAGAAATAATGTCCATTGACTCTATAACGAGTATACGTCTGTATTCAGTCCTAAGCAGTATAAATATATCATTTGTACCAATGCTGTCTCTCCATCATTCTGATTATTCGTCCACTTTCTATACTCATTTACACACACTCATAAGTCTCAGTTACTAAAAAGTAATGCCAAGTAAGGGGACTTTGCCAGTCATCGTGCAATTGAGCAAAGGTCTACGTAAATAACATTTCGTCTATGGTCGCTCTGGTCTAACATTAATACATCTTTAAATTTCTTTGGTGATCTGTCCGGACAAAAATATTAGGTACCTAAAAAATGGGCAATTCCCTAAAAATCTGTCGAAACTATAGCGCGTTTAATTGTACAAATCGCGTAGCAATTATTCTATTTTCCACCACTGCTGACAACTGTAGGTTCCATAACACCCACTCCATGTCTCACAGTGGCTAAATTTACACTCTGTTCGAGCTCCAGATACAAATGCTTCTGTTCATATTATTAAACGTAATAAAAGTTTTCTAGTGAATTTGTGGCAGTTAGTCAAATGTGATTAATCATCGTCAGAGAATATCTTTCGGTTGTAAGTGAGATGGTGACAGTCTTTATTACACGTCTTTTTCTACAGTTGCCCGCAGTTCTGTTCTCAGTGCAGCATATAAAATTTTTTAATTCAGTCTAGTCGCACACAAAAACAAAACTGTTAACTATGTTTATATTATCTATGTCAGTCCATTAAATCAGTTACTCTACGTAAATATTCACACGAGTCGACTGAAGCTGTGAAGGAAGCTTATTTTGGAACAAGGTCTGCCTATCTGGTTCAACAGATCATTTTACCTCAGGTTTTTGTTCAAAGGAGCATAACTTGCTCGACTGTGAAACTTAGAACTACGCAATAAATAACAATTTTTTTTAATTTAACTGGAGCATCCAGCAACGTTCATCAATCAATAAATACTTACGATACAGAAAAAACAACAATCACGATTTGGTAAGAACTTACCACAATAAATAACAAATAAATTACAATAAATTAGGTGCGCAATCGCGCGTACAATTATGAGACGAACGTAAATAAATTTCTGTCAAGTCATCATGCTTCTCTAATCATAAGATAAGATGATTTGAAATCAAGTACGACGCTCTTAAGTACTCAAACTCGTTGACCGTTCGATTACTGTCATAGAAGTGTTCAGGTATTATGAAGTTTCTGCCATTCCTGATCGCTGTGAATGAGAGCCAACGCTCAACGTACCAGTATTAAGATTCATTTTAAACACCATTTAGCTGGTCCATGTCGATTTAAAGCTAACCCTTACAGTTATTCCTCTTTAACGGCTTTTGCCTCAGCCTCGATTTGTTTTTGTTGCTTGCTGACTTTGGAAGGCGCCATGAGCGGCACGCACTTGTAAGATTCGCAGTGGCCATCGCGAGCAGACTTGAAGAGCTTCTCGACCGTGTATGTCTTGGCATACTCGTCTGGCGTCCTAATGCAACAAAGAACAATTATAAACCAGGGAGCAATAGCGCCTTAATTCTTTCAATCCAAAAGGAACTTCAAACATTTTCCTTGCATATGGCCAAGTTTGAATAAGTCCGAAACTTTAAAGCAATGTGAATTTTTTCGGTTGCTTGTTTAAAATTGCATTTACTTTTAAAATGGAAATTTTATCTTTAGAATTTTTAAATGCGAAATGATGGATCACAATCAATATTTATATATCTCTTCATGATATTCAGCATTAAAATTATTCTTATTTACTCACAAAGTAGCAGTGAGGTACATAATCTTCTGCAAGATAGAAGAGCCTTCGTGGCGCCCGACTTGCGCAATCTCACAGAAGAGTCGCTCCTGGCAGTCCCTGGTGGTGTACGACAGGAAGTCCGCCTTCTCAACGGCCCTCAGGAGCGGCAGTTCGAAGGGCTTTAGAGTTTCTTCGACGTTGTTGGACATCGAGCGACTGCAAAGAGCCAGGAAATATTTGTCATTTTGCGTTCCCAAAATATTATTTAAAAGTATCTATCTTTTTTGGTTCCCTGTTAGTTAGTTTTTTTAGTTTTAGTTTAGTTTAGCTAAATTAAATTTATAAAATGTGTTCATTTATGTTCATCAGAACACTGCACAACAACAAAATGACCAGATATTTATTGTACGGCGCGGCACTAGAACCTTAAACAATTCTTCTACTATCGATGCGGACTACCGTAGGTAGGAATAAGAACGTAAGGGCCTCACAGAGGCTATTATAATCACTCCGTGGTCCTACGGAAATAATTTTTTTAGCTGTGGAATTTAGTTCAGCGTATCAATTTGGTTGGAGGAATCAGTAGTTTGTCCTCAAAAGTAGGACACGAGGCCGAGTGTGGCACTCGGGCAGCGCGTTTTTATGATCCCGTGCAAACCGTTCACTGAGCAGTAGCCGGTCTAAGAAAAAGTTGTTCAGCAAGTCTGACGATTTTGCATCTGTTTCCAACTTCCCCAAGGACGGACTACGGGATCTATTGGTAGATGACTTAGATAATAATATTTAATTTTTGAAACTTCAGATAAGATTTCTCCTTTAGCTCCACTTTCTCAAATTCCTTCTTATTTTTTCTCTTGAATTCTAGGCCGCAGGTTGAACGCAATGCGCACAAAAAATGCCCCAGTCAGGCTTCCGTTGCATCCTATTTCCTTAGCCGCACATTAATTGGGAGATTAGGCCAACGGCGAAAGGCACTCACATGATTTCCTTCAATAAGAAGGATATATGATGGAAATCATTCACATCTTTTTCCTCATCAAGAAAAATTTTCGGATTTTTTTTTTAGAAAACTTTACATACTTTATTTTTAATCATATAATTCATTATTTTGTACGCTGATACTAAAGTTCCAGATTTTTCTGAGAGAAAATCTACTGGATGATATAAAAAAATATGTTCATACCCAACAACGTTAGGCTTGATCATCGTACGAATACATGTGCTGAGATTCGTAGTTTATTCACGATTACCTTTCTAGTTTGGGGAGACCGAATAAGCATATAATATGATTTATTAACTTCTCATTGAGCTAAAACTTTTAAATATCATTGCAACATCCCATATACAACATCCATTGAATATGTACCCCCAACATCCCATTGCAACATCCATTGAATATGTTTGCGTCTTTGCGATGTGATTAAATGACTACACTATAATAAATGACTATAGTCATAATAAATGACTATATAGACTATAACGATGAGCTTTTTGTGTGTATGTCCTACAGACACAGTTTGGCCCGGCAACAGGTCGTTTTATTGCTACGTGCGCACTCTACTCGTGTTGGGGGGTAAGAATGTGTGTCACTATTTGAACAAGATCCGGGACAAATAATACGCTAATAGGATAAAGAGCACTGCTCTAAGATCGGGGAACAATTTTTGTATACATATTTTTAGTGTATTTTATCACGCTAATAAGATAAAGAGACAGATCGGGGAACCATTTTTTATGCATATTTATGATTGTATTTTATCACGTGGGAAGCCTTGACTCACCCGACAATGGGTATGGTGAAGAGACCCGTGGGCATGGCTGCGAGCACCAGCGCCATGGGCACCGCTACCACTGCGGCGTCGAACGCGAAGTCCCCCCAGGTGTACTCGTCCTCTTCTTCGAAGCTGAGGGCATCAATCAAGAAAAATATTAAGTTAACTAAAATCACCCATCAAAACATATGTAAGTGAGACTATTGCAAAATTTAACAACTTCTCTATAAAAGAATCTAAGTTTTGAATCATTTAAGCCTTTGAATCATCCAATCATTTATCAGAATATTAGACGAAAGTGCTAATCTACGATTGTAATTAACTTGGAAACAGTTATATACAGTATGGCACAATGTTTTTTTTCAATAATCAACAAACATTTCTGTCTGTGTCATTTCTGTCCTACAAACGAACGCGCGATCGTGGTGTGCGTATATACGGAGCGTTCATAGTAGCACTCACTTGTCGTCACGGGCGGGGTGGTTGCTCTGGTAAGGGTTGTAGGCGGCATAAGAGGAGCCGAGGTTGCCAAGCACACCAGAATGATCTAAGCCAGGGTACAAATAGTCCGAATCTTCAAAGTCCTCGTACTCGTCATCGTTACCAAAGCCTAAGTAGTTCATGAAGGTTGTACTCATTCTTTGGAAGAAAGATCGACCTGAAATACGCACGTATGTTTGAGTAAAGTTTTGTAGGTCAGTCATATTTTCGTCAGTCCAATAAAAATAGAGGTCAAAGCTAATGGGATAAATTACTTGAATCATTCCATCACACGTAAAAAATTTTTCGTTGCATTCATTCGATATAATTATTTCGAAATATGAAGTTTGAACGATAGCCAAATAGCCACACTCACCTCTGGTGTAGGCTCTGCCCTTCTTGATTATTCTGGCGAGCTGTGGGGAGTTTTTGATCACTTGTGTTTGTTCTGACAATTCGGGCGCTGTCTCTTCGGTGGCTTTTGAGTCTTGAACGGCGGCTCCCAGCACGGCGGTCACGCCCACCAACAACAGCAGCATTGCTGAACGATGCATCTTTCTGAAGGAGAAATGTTATAATATATCATTCTTTTCCAGTGGTGAGAGCATTTTCAAAAATGTGCAAGTCGACGATTTAAGAATAAGAATAAGAGGAATACTGTTTTGTTTCTGATAAAATAATGTCTTCGCTGTTGAGCTAAAAATTTTATGTATTTTTTTTAATTAATGAGTGAAAGAAATTGAGAGCAATATGAAGAAGAAAAAAGCTTTATTGAATTACACCCTACACTCAAACTCATTAAGGAACATATTTAATTTGGTTAATTTTTCAAACGTCAAGCAAAATCCTAACAATAAGAGGTTCTTACGATTTAAAAGTTTAACGCGCAATCAGCGGCTTTGCTAGGCAGAAGAAAGTTTTGAAAGTTGTTTTTTTTTGGCCCTTGCAAGTTTTTGTGTGGTCAACTGTAACTGTATCTTTCACCAAATATTTTCTCGCGTTATAAAAAGATAAATTTAAACAGCGTAATTTCGACACATTGAGACCCAGTGAATCAATCCCCAAATTTGGTTCATGGTAATCTACGGATCCGTCGTGGCTCCTGTAGCATATAAAGTTTCCTGTATTCTTAATAATTAGCCGCTAAGATGAAGCACGTTTAGAAGTCGTGCTCCGTAAGCCTTCGTTCTTGTTTCATGTTCATTATGTTGGTTCCAATAAAGCCTGTTCCGTGCTGCCGTGTTCTTCCCACCCTTCACGCGCGTAACTTCAAACATTACAGCTCCAACAACACCATCAGAATAACATGTGATTGTAGTTAATTGGAGTTTCAGCGGAGGAGGTGCCTTACTTTCTGCCTTGTGTGTTGAGAATAAAAGCTATAGATGCCAATAAAAGCTATAGATGCCCGGGAGGTGCGCTTTCTTCTCAAGAACTTTCCATAGGAAAGTTCTTGAGGGCAGGGTGGAAAGGGCAGGGTGGCCCAGTGGTTAAAGTACAGAGTACCAAGATTGGCGCAGAGAGGCGCGGGTTCGATCCCAGCTCTGTGCGCCAGTTTCTGGTCAGAATCGGCGAGGAGGCCGGGCGGTTAAGCATAGCAGAATTGTAGCAGTGAGTTGCGAGTTCGAGACCGCAAAATGCTGTGAATGTTCTGCGATGTTAAGAATCGGCGACAGGCCTACGGCCTAATAACGCTGAAACCGCTATAATCAACTGATTGGTCGCGTGACGTTCATGACACGTACGGACGTATGGATCGATGGCGCTCGGTTTCACATGGGCACCGCAGCAGCACAACACGTACGTATACTTCCATCAAACTTTATATGATGAACGTAATGTCAATTCTCTCACTGCCAAAATTTCTAGTGAATAAGGATCTAATGCACTTCTGCATAATATTTACACTGGGTGATTTCTTGGTAAATTTACACGGTTCTTACAGAATAAAATTATTTAGGAAAAAGAAGAAAAAATGTCCCTGCGAAGTATGAAGGCTGTGAAAATAAAAGATTATAAATTTTCTGTTCACTCTATGGCGAGAAGGGCATTGTTCAAGCCTCCTCGTAACAAATAGATTCGTGTGTCGGTAAAATTATTCGTGTTAGTTAAAGTAGCAACATGTGGCGTCACTCAAGCCATGACTTGCAGAGGCTCACTGAACTCATTGTCCGCTGGATGACATCGCTGTTACATGTTCCTTACGAGCACAACCATGCAGCCGTTGTCTTCAAGTGATCATCATTGAACGAACAATGTTCATGACCATATAGTTTAACTTTTAAACCAAAGTAGTGATTTTCATCATATAAAGTTGCAGGTTTATTGGTGTCTTAATTGTAATTATATGTGCTGAAAGTTGCGTTAACAGTGCATTGAAATAGGATTTGCGAGTCCAGCATTCAGGTGACCAACGAGAGCTGTGACAAGTCTTCAGTGATTTAACATTTACTTAAGTTCTTCTATACATCAAGTAATATTTTTTTTTTCTTTTTTTCATAACAAGTTTAAGGCAGAATCCTCGATCTCAAACTATTTATTTATTGGGGCCAAAAGGCTTTTTGAATCGATGAATGCAAATAAGTTCTTAAGTATTTTGCTCTATATCGCTCGCATTTGAGTGACGAGTCAGAGTTGTTCATCGGAACGGCAGCATCGGAATATTTCGATGCTCAATGATTTATCGCTAATTTGCTATAGATAGCAATACAAATGAGATATGTTACTGATTTTACATATTTTTCACCACTTACATATTTCGGTTGAATATATTACTTATAAGGAATAGATTAGTGCAATTTCTGACATAAGAGCCCCTGCGATGCTCCTAGAGTTTGCGTGTTGCGAAGATGCTTATTTACTCACACCATTACCGCCTCGGCTCAGGTTACCGTTATTTTAAAAATCAGCAAGAGTTTCTTCCAGCGTAGCCATAATATTGAAAAAATATCGCTGATCTAGAGCTCGTTGTCTATAAGAACGAGGTAGAGGGTAGGAGGAGTGGTAGACGAGAGGGCAGGCAGAGGGGGGGAGTGCCCCAGAGCAGCCAACGGAACGCTGCCTGCACTGTACGACCGTTACTCTGTAGCGCGCATCTGCCGCTGGCCGAGTTACCTACCTAACGCCACGTCGTGATTCTTTTAGAATAGAATAGAATAGAAGTGTCGGCGTTGAAGAAATAGGCCCATGGCCTGTTGCCGATTCTTGAACTTTTCGTGACTTGATTCACAAGGGATCCGGCCTTTGGAACCCGATCTTTCCATAACTGACGATTGATTGAGATGGCTGCTGGACTTATTGCCTGGTCCGTAAAATAGTGACGGTAACTTCTTAAACTTAATCGTCAATGTCGCTTGAATCTTATTTATGAATCCTATCCTATGAATCTTCACCGTGTAGTTATTGAATTTAACTTTAAAATATTGACGGTAATTTCTTAATTTAATCGTCAATGTCGCTTGAATCTTATGTATTCATCGTGTAATTACTGAACTTAACTTTAAAATAGTGACGGTGACTTCGTACTTTAATCGTCAATGTCGCTTGAATCCTATGTATTCACCGTGTAATTACTGAATTTAAACATGAGACATCGTATTTTGGACGGGTCAGTTTTAGGGCCGTTGGAATCAATAAGTGACATTGGAAATGTTAGCTAAAAATTTAAAAAGAAGCATCATAAATGAGAACATATATTGTCTCTTTATCAAGTTAATATCTAACATAAGGATCGGCATTTCTATCCATCTACTACTTAAATACAATAACTAATCATTCGTACTTTTCACCGCACACTCAATTAAGTGTTGCAATTAAGACGGAGCAAAAGCGTTACATTAATGTTCACTGTTAAATTAAATAGTTTATACGAGACGAATCTATGCTTGCTCCCCCAAAATGACCTCTCTTGTGTTCGGTTGCCATGTTTCATTACCTGCCAGGAGTACAACAATACGCACGTTAAAGACGTAAAAATAATTCGTGCTGTGATCATAGCCTCAACCGATAGTATCTTGGACGCCTAGTAAACCATTTAAGTAATAATTTTATTAACAAGATCTGCTGACCTTCTCATTAATTGAGATTTTGCACTAGTTTGGTGCGTGAGTTAACGCGATGACCGCATAGTAATTTATTCGTATTTGTTTCTTATGAGATTGTAACGAGATTAATTCTCATCTCAACTTTCACTGAATAATTATTTAGAGTTATTATAATAATTATTTCAGAAACTCGCATTAATTCCTCTCAACTTCTTCTTAAACTTAATTTGAATTATTCAGGTCTAGTAATCATGATAATAAGTTGCTATGAATTACCATAGCCATTGATCGTGAAGCAAGATTGATACGAGCTCATGACCATCCCCACAAGACGTTTGGGCCCCAACGCTAGGATCGTGATAAATACGACTCGGTTTCTATGAAACTAATAACTCTGCTGTGCTCGTAAGCTTAATGCAATCTCTAGTAGCCATATCATTATAATCTTGGCATCAATCGGTCTTATGCGGTGTCAGAGTCATTCCACGATTCTGGAACGATTATATTGTTAAGAAATAGTGCAGAGAATTACCTGTAAAAGCATTACCTTATTTTTACAAGGTTTATGTCAACCCCAATCACGCTTTCTCGGTTCAACCTCACCACTGTGAAATTAAAATATTTTTCTTGGCACCAATTTTGATCGAGAAAAGATGATAAACATTATTTCTTTCATTTAAAATTAACATTTATTGTTGGTATCATCTAGGTATGGCGAAGCAGTTCAGTATAATGACTTTGTATCGATTGCGTGAAACGGTTAGCGCAACTATGGTTCTCTAACCTAATGTGTGAATGGGGGACGAAACTTCAAGTAAACTTAGAGTCTAGTAAATACTGTATAAATAGAATACTGAAAGTCTATTAAATAGTACATGGATAATATACAAAGAGTCTATAATATACTGCACAAATAGTATGAGAATCATGTACACGTAGGGCCTCTGGGCCCAGAGCTCGCACCTGCGATCGAGTCTACGACCCGCATACTCCAGCCCGGACGGCCAGTTTTTATCAGAGATGAAAATGCGGCGGCCAGTCCTTCACGGTCGCTTTCTTTTTCTCTCTCACTGAGCTCAATCTCTGCTATTGCTGAGAGTGCAAGAGATCGCTGAACAATGAACATCTCGGCAGTTTTCACCTAATATTTCATTCAAAGATCGCGTAAACAACGCCCAACTTAAGGTCGCGTTCTACAGGACGATTTCTTTTATTTTGGGGGAAACTGTCGCTGAAGTCCAAATATTACGGACCTGTTCCAATTTTTTTACACTGTCGAGCAGCTTTCTCTGAGAACAGCAAATGAGAGATGATTTTCTGTCGATTTGAAAGTTTTCTGGATAAGACTTGTGAATTTTTCCACCTATACCAATGTAAACATTTACGGTCATGTTCTCGTGTAGAACTTGCATTCACAATAAATGCTTTGGCAATACCTAGGAGTCTATTTCACTAACTATGTATCTATAGAGACTGTCTCATTACGAGTTGAAAATATCCGGAACTGCTTCACAAGTCTAAAGTAGATCTAAAACATTGACACTGCAAGATTATTTTGAAAATCCACAAATGCGCTTGACAGACACCTTTTCGTGGGGAATCGCTACTGTAAGCAATTTCCTGCTCTATCACCATAAGTCCTTTTGTAACCCACAGAGTAATTCCCTCTTGAATATTTTAATCAATCTAGCAGTGAGAAATTAAATCTACAATCGATCGGGTATGCGCCGTTGCCGCTGCCTGCTCCTCTGCATGCCGAGCCCGACTTTCTACACCGAGCTTGGCGCGATCACCTCAGGGAACGGGACAAGCTACAACCTCAATATTTTTTGTCACTTACACATGAGGATTGGAACTGTTCTCTGTGGCATGCAATAGTATGAACGATGAGAAGCTCCCTAGAGATTTATTTTATGCAATCGACAGGTTGATTTAACGTGTATTCACCAATGCTATTGATAACGAATAACTATTTATTCTGAGACAATCAGGTAACCGAAAATTTCATTGTGATGGTCAGTAAACGACGAAGAAAAATAAGAGAAATCTAATTAATTAAATTTAATTTAAAATTTCCTCATGTCAGGACGACAAATAAAACATTGAATGAGTCAAACAATAATTTTCTGGGACTCAAGAGCCCAAGCTGTCAATGATAGGGAATTTGCGTTACAAATGCGCTTATTAATCCTTAGAGGATTCCTGTTTTTTTTTCAGACTTGGTGTATGCTATGTACGATTCTACCTTACAATATATCAAGCTCTCATGTATTGTTGTTCTCTGAGATGTCGTATATATACCATATAATTTTGTAAATATACCATCCCACGATCAATCATACCACCATCAAAGTGGTCTTCTAATTGCCTTGCAAAAAGGTATTGCTCCTCCCCTGTGTAAAAGAGCAGCAGCACTCGACTAAAGCAGATTAGAGTCAGTCACTTTTCGAGATTAATTCAATGCGATTGCAGAGGAAAGTTTTCAGAAATAAGGCTCGCGTGCTGCATTGTCATCGGCTTAGATCAACGTTGTTATATTTGAAGAGTCCTCTGCTGAAGTTAGAGAAATACCACAGCAAATCTAAGGTGCATGCCGATCTCTCATGAGCACACAGCGCCATATGGAAGAGGCATCACTTTATGTACCTTGAGGGTTCGTAGCGTCAAGAAAAGAAGTTAATTGGCAGACTACCGTAAACACTCACGATGTTTACTCTCTCGCTGCTGCAAACACCGCAGCTAAAAATTATAAATTTATTCGTTTACAGATCATTTCGAATACTTTATGCCGGTGCCATCGTCTGATCTAAACTGAAATGCTGGAATTGAGGTCAGGCGGTGAAGTGATAGAAATTCTTTCGATCTCGATTATGCGGATTCGAGCCCGTCGAAACCGTGATGAATATGTTGATCTTTGCTTCGGAGTCAGCAACTTGCACACTCGAGTGACTAACGGACCCATCATTGCTTTTAATGAGGAGGAAAATGATTGAAGCGTGACAACGGTCAATGGGCTTCGTATTTTTTGTAACTGAGCTCAATCAAGGAAAGATGCTCCATAAGCTGAACTGAAGCTTCGAGATAGGAGAACATAACGAACAGAAATGGATCTAAGAGATCTCATAGAGTGCAGTGTGGTGCAAGGAAACTGACCTTCCTTAGTAAGTATTACTGAGTAATACTTTTTAGAACTATAGTAAGGTGTCCAATGATACTCGTGTACATGCAAAGCGTAATAATCCATTGATATATCATAGTGCGGGACTATGATAAATTGCCGCAAAAATCTACGGGTCACTGATGGCTCAAGCTCCTATACGAGTAAAAGGTGTTTCTAGGCGAGGAAACAACGCAAAAATAACCTGTTATCCTTAGCTCAGATGATAACCGTCAATATAAAGTGCACAAGTTAATTTGTGTAAGTTATTTGACCTATTATATTACTTTGAATTCTCATTTATTCTGCTGCTTCTAACACATTTAGTTTGGTTCCAAAATAGTAACTTTAGATGGTTCAATTTTAGGTTTTCTATCATACGAAAAAAAGATTGAAGCTCTGCCAAATTAATAAGCTGAACAACGAAGAAAATGAACTCTAAATTTTTTAACACGATTTGCTAAACGCAATATCTTCTGATAAATCAAATGACTTATACAAGATTTATTCATTGTAAGCCATAAAACAAACTTGAAAAACAATTTTCAACGCATTAACATGTGAACATGTTCAGAAAAAATATGTTCACATGTTTTTTCATGTGAACATGTTCAGACAGTGCGCATGCAACATTTTTTTTCAATTTTCTCGAGAAGAAAAGACCGTATAGGCAGCTGCCTGCGCACGCGCTGTTGCGTACTAATGTTTGCCTAGGCTGGCCTATACTGAAGACGGCGGCTACGCGCACGCCCGTCTACACTCACAGGGAAGAGAAAACAAACAAACGCTAATTCCATTAAAATTCACGACCGATATGAGAAGTATGAGTATGGACCATCAAATATTCATGAGCTAGCAGACAATCGTCATAATTTCTAAGTATAATTAGATAGCCAGAATTTAAACTTCCAAACTGTTGCTAGTTTTTCGTTAAAGTTGACCGACTTTCTTCGACTGTGGGTTGCATTTCATGTTTGAGTCTTATCTGACTTTTATCTTTTCCATTTTAAAATATTGATTTATTCGTCGAAAGAAAACAAGTTGTAAAGCAACAATTCAAATAATTCAATAATAAGTGGCAGAGCAATAATTCATTCAGTTTTAAACAGAAAATTATGGTCATTACTGTATTAAATTAACGAATCCAAATCATTTACAGCGTCAATCATCAGAGCTTTAATTTCCTCTCAATCCAAAATACTCGTTCAAACTACTGGATTTCGGATTTCAATCGCATGTATTGAACAATAAATGATTTATACTTAAAACTCTGCACGATTGACGATCATTGCTGTTGTTTAGTTGAGCATTACAGTCATATGCAGCCACGGAGGGAACTGCAACGCGCGCCAGCTACCGACCTGTAAGTAATGGCTGTAAGTCGTTAATGGAATATCTTACTGTATAGTGGCAGTGGGGGCAAATTGTAGCGCTCGGTAACGGGGCAGCGCTCGGCAATATTTATATATAATCTAAAAATTAAATTTATTCTTTCTACCGACTTGCGACAAGATTTAGATTTGTTCAAAAATCACTCGGAGAAATTTATAGAAAATTACTTTAAGAAAGCACTGTTAAACTTTTTTTCATATTTTATTTTTTTATCTTAACAAACTACTCGTAATTAGATTAAACTTGTTTACCTTTAAACTTAAACTTGAAAATAAATGTTTTTACGTCCGTACCCATTGATGATCAACATGAAATAATAATCGGAAGGTAAAGTTTTTTTGATGCGTAGTCTCGATATTAATTTAAAGTTTATTCTCGAAAAAAAAACGTGATTTATAACGGAAGCTTATATAACTTATTTAATTTATAAATGGGACGAAGATTTTCCGGCAAAAATAAAAGTATCATAAAATACTGGACCGTAATTACTGAAAGCTAAGCATAAGAACACAAAAATCTAATAAAAAAATTTAATTCTTATTCTTTGAAACGATTAACTTCATTCTCAGGTGGAAGACGAGAAACCTAAAAAAAACTGAATCAGTAACGTAATCCTCTAAATTCATTAACCAATTCTAACACCCCCACGAAATTCACTGGAGATTACACGGGGTAAATTAGCTGGTCAAGCCGACCTGTAGAAACTTTTGCTTTGTTGAATCCTTCTCGCACACCCAATAAAAAATCTGCAAATGTAACTTACTATGAATTGTACGAGTGATCTGAGCGAGTGTTGGTAGAATGCCGGTCGGTCAAGTCCGGATTGAGAACTAGGGCAGTTGCACGGGAGGTGCAGAGACACAGAGGGCACTACGTACTGCGTCACTGTTCACACGATAATGGCGCGGGTGTCGACTTTCTGCCCTTATATACCTCCTTTCTTCGCGCTCTATGCATCTCTCTCGAGATAGGCTGCCCGACCTGCTTCACCAACAGGATGGAAAGTTACAAAAATTCACAATGGCTTCTCATTGTGAACGTAGTAGAGCAGGAGTTGCGTGCCTCTCTGTATCAAATTTGGTGATGTTAAGCAAGGCTTGGGTTTGCTGGAAAACTTAAGAGCGGTTAGATTTTAACTAGATCTGGAGAAATAAAGTCGCATTAGCAATCGGTCTACCCGCTCCTAAAGATGGTATTGCCGCAGCCTTGCATGCGTTAATAGGCCAGCAGGGCACGGACGCGCCCCCTAGTCCAACTCTCGTAGCGAAATTTAAAAAAAAAACGTATCATGGAACTCAATACTCTAGTGAAGGGACATTTAGAATATTCCAATCAAGGAAAGAAAACCGTCATATATGTTCTATAATTGCGTTTCCCGATGCGCACATGCAGCCGAAAGACCTGTGAGATAGCGCGCTTGAAGTAGTTGTTATTATGCTTCTATAAACGACTGCAATATTTAAATATTAAAATGCACAGGATATATTTTCTGAGATAACGATAACATCTTAAATCTCCTTCTGATCCCATTCCCACCCACGCCGATGTGATCACTAAACAAGTTTTAATTGCAGTCACGAGACAATACAACCATCTTCGAAGGATTACCACGGTAAAATTTTATTAGTTGAATTTTACGCTAAGGTTGGGACTATCAAAGTGTCAAAGCACGACGCAAAAAAATATTTAGCGATTGCATTACCTTTACATGACAAAGAGCCGCCGAAAACAGACATTGTTCAATTTTAATTTTCTACATGTTTTTTCGAACTTAGAATATAGATTTTTTAGTGTGAGGATGTTGATTAGTTGTTATCATCTTTACGTTCTCAAAATATATTATCAGCCTGCGAACACTGGTCGCTCTGACCTGAAAGATTTCATGTGTCATGAGTACTGCGGTTCAATACAATATGTCGTTACAATCTCGCATTGAGGTTCATTTCGGTTATTTCAAATCGATTACCGAACATAAAATAATCCATGCCACGCGTTTGGCTTTATATGTACATATACTGATTATTAGTATAGGCTGGCAGAATTTCTTCTCTTAAGCAAGTTTTGTTAAAGACCAGAGAATTAGTTTTATTTATTAACTTCTTGTTAGTTTTTTCAATAAGTCGTACTAAATTCTTCGTAGGTGTTGGAAGATTGAAAATCAAATTACCGATAGATATTTTTAATATTGAACGACGTTTCGAATGTACAACATTCATTTTCAAGTTAAAGACGCATAGAGTAACAAAATTTGGGTTGACATATGAACGAAATCAAGTAAATTGGATACAATTCAAATAATGCTAAAATTTCGATAATGTGATACTACAGGAAGATTTTACAGGCGCAAAAAACTACTCGGAAAACAATCTCAAAGTTCTGACGAAGCCGGTGGTTTTGGTTTTAAGCATGTGTGTCCCGAATACTGATTATTCGGTATGTTGTATATATATCCTGATAATACCTAATGTGCAGTAAATATACTGAGTATATCTATGGTGCAGTATATATTTACTGATTGTATCTACAGTGCAGTATATAGACTGAGTATACTGTATCTACGGTGCAGTAAATATACTGTTTATATCAACGGTGCAGTATATATACTGAGTGCATCTACGGTGTAGTATATATACTGATTAATTATATCTACGGTGCAGTATATATACTGATTATATCTACGCTGAACTCAACCATATTATGAAGTGAAAGAGGGAGGGCACGCCACTGCTTTATTTGAGCATCAGAGAAACCTAGGGTGTTGCTCAGTTCCGTTAGAATCTAACTAATAATAAGCTTGACCTTTATTTAATATGACTCAGTTTATATATTGTCTAAGCGATCAAACAGAGCATATAATGTGGTTGAAACTTTTATGAGTTATCAGTTAGATTGATCAAGATCAGAAATAAATTAATATTAATTAATTTAATTAATATTAATTAATTTAAATTAATTAATTAATTTGAATTAATATTAACTAAAAAAATTACTCTTCTGATTAATAAAAAATCAGGAGAGTAAGAGATCGTGTAGTTCGCCCTTGTGATTTACGGCGATGTCAGCGTAGACATGACATTTTCTCAGCAGCTCCTTGGGTGCAAGATGTTCTGGCCGATGACAAGGCAAGATATCTCATTCTTAAATAAATTTAATCGGCTTGTTTTTTGGCGACTATAATCAAGTGCATTAAATAAAAATAAGTTAATTTGTGTACAATTTTCTCACTCTTATGTGTTTCCAACTGTAAACTTTCTTTTTTCCAGTTGCTTACTCAGCTGCGTATTGAACTTGCGGACAAAGCTTCATTCATTGCCTAGCACGAAACTCGGGCGTCCGTGGATGTCCTTACCGTTGATGTGCCCTAGCCGGCGTGTCTCTTAGGATGCGTTGGGGCTTGTGTCCTAGCATGAGAGTCCTAGCATGAGTGTGCTAGCATGAGTGTCCTAGCATGAGTGTCCTAGCATGAGTGTCCTAGCATGAATGTCCTAGCATGAGAGTCCTAGCATGAGAGTCCTAGCGTGAGTGTCCCAGCATGAGTGTCCTAGCATGAGGGTCCTAGCGTGAGTGTCCCAGCATGAGTGTCCTAGCATGAGGGTCCTAGCGTGAGGGTCCTAGCGTGAGTGTCCTAGCATGAGGATCCTAGCATGAGTGTCCTTGCATGAGTGTTCTAGCATGAGTGTCCTAACATGAGTATCCTAGCATGAGTACCTTAGTATGGTGTGCCCTTGTTCTCGTAGTCAAAGTCCCAGAAGTCCGTTACTTGTGTTCACTAAGCTGTATCCTTACAACTTCTACTATGGAACATGTTCATGTCGTAGCCTACCTTGCATACGACTGTTAATACTGTCAACGGACTTAGATGCGCCAGGGCCACAATTGAGCCACGCGTAGACGCTGCGATGCTAAATCTTTTCAGCCGCAAACCTCGGGGGTTTCCAGTTTTGATGTATGAAGGCTTTTCTTCATACATCATGTATGATGTATGACCATACCTACATCATGTATGATGTATGAAGGCTTTTCTTGCTTGACCGCAAACACTCGCAAGCTGCGAGGATATTCTGTGCGTTGTCGGATGTGTCCTTCTTACCGGCCATTTATTTTGGTCGTAGCGGTTTTGTAGAATTAATCTATTTTGCAGAGAGAGTTCGTCTTGATATGTTCTGCTGGACTGATGTGTTCTGTTCGCTTGTGTTGTTTTGTAAGCCGGATAAGTTCAGCTTTCGGGATCTGTCCTGCTTACAAGGTTTTGTCTGGCCTGCTGAATGCATTTGATTTTCTGTTTTAAATTTAGCAGGATGTCGGTTAATTTATGATCATTAATTCACTTGGGATTTGTATTTACAAAACCGTTATTTAGCCGCAAATGCAGTATCACTCAGAGGACGGGCACTCGCCTCCGCATTCCCGTCACAATTGGCGGAAGGACGCCAGAAGTGAAAGTACGAGAGGCACTTCACAGGAATCTGTTTACTGCGCCGAAAGCCTATAGCTCAAGTATGGTTTTATCCTCTTCCCCTATAATATCCTCATACCACTCTTTTCACAACCATTCTTTTAACATTTCCATACAAATAGAGTGCTGAAAACAGCATGAAACTTCATATAACATATTTTCTGGCGTTCGTATCTGTATGAATTTTATTGTTGTCGTAAATTGACGCCATGACGATGAGCTACTAAGTTGCACTTTTCTATTGGTAGTCTTACGAGCCACTAATTTAACTATTTTATACAGTTTACTTAATTGGTTTTAAACATATGTACATTCTAATTTGGACTGAAAGAGCTGTAAATAAGTTAGCGAAACAAATATATAAAAATTAATAAATAACCACAAACTGATTCATCAACAATTTTATGCAGTTAAAAGGTATAACGTAAATAGTAAGGTTGCTTTTATGTCAATTGTTACACTTGAACAATCAATAACTTGCAGACACAAATTCGTTCTTCGGTTAAGCAAATTTTTCTTCCTTATTTTAGAAGCTATCCTAACTTTTATTTTTAGCTTAGAATTCGCATACAGTTTTTCAGTCAGAAAAAACTATTGATTATAATAATGTAATCTAACCATTGACTTTAATGTAACAATATAATTATTGACTTATTAATAAGGAATCAGTCATTGATAGGTCTCTCAGCTTACAGAGAATGGATGGATGACTCATGCGATATGGCGGCGCTCCAGACTGTGCTGGTAACGCTTGAAATCTAAACCTACGGCTAGTGTGTTAAATGGTTAGAGGGACTTGAAAATTGTGAAGACAGTGTTTCCACTCACTGCAGCACAAGACCCTTGAATCTGAACACTGAACAGACCGTGGTCAGCCCGACTTGAGAATTGTGAAGACATTGTTTCAACTCACTGCAGCTCAAGACCCTTGTAATCTGAACAGACCGTGGGTTAAATGGTCAGCCCGACTAGAGAATTGTGAAGACATGTGTCTACACTCACTGCAGCACAAGACCCTTGTAATCTGAACAGACCGTGTGTTGAATGGTTAGAGGGACTTGAGAATTGTGAAGACATGTGTTTCAACTCACTGCAGAACAAGACCCTTGTAATCTGAACAGACCGTGGGTTAAATGGTCAGCCCGACTTGAGAATTGTGAAGACATGTGTCTACACTCACTACAGCACAAGACCCTTGTAATCTGAACACACCGTGTGTTAAATGGTCAGCCCGACTTAGGGATTGAGACGACATGTTTTCTTTCCATTCACATTCATGAAATGCATTTTTTTCACACAAATCAGTGCAAAAATTCCTTTTCATTTGGATGAGCTAATGGACCTGGGTAATCAAAATAAGTTTTACAACTTTTAGGTGTCATGCTAACTCACCAAATGAAATTAACCGTGAAACAAATTCATTTATTTTGTAGCTGTTG